AAAAAAAAACAACACACACAATCCAAAAAACACAAAAACAGAAACACAAAACAAACAAAAAACTAAAATCAAGCAAAAACTAAAAAACTAACAGCCCTCCCTCAGCAAACGAGCAGTTCAGCAGTGAACGAACGACACAAGAAGAGGTCCTAGCCCGAGAAACCACTACTGCGCAGCCGCCTATACAGTAGCTGAAACCGAGCCTCGAACCCATCTCCAAATCGACCCACCCCCAACCGAGAGAAAACGGCCAACTCCCAGCAGCCCCTCCCGAACCCGTCTAACAACATATAACTACATTAAACACAAGTATATCAATTGAGAAATAATTTTATTTTTCAAATTTCAGAAAATATTATTATTTTTATTATTATAAGGATAAATAAAATTTATTTATTCCATATATACGATATGGATGTCAAATCATACGTCATCAAAAGATGATTAATTTGATATATTATATATGTAAAACCGATAAGAAACACAAAAGTTATCAACCTTTAAAACACATTTACAATTCAATAGCTAATTGTAGGAAACAGATCAAAAGTGAGGGATATATTAGTCACTTAGTGTCTCACTATGTAAAGTTACAAAGAATTAAAGGGTTATATTAGTACAAGTGATATTAAAATACCTAGTTAGCTAAATAATATTTATGGAATGTTCAAACCTAAATTATTAATTATTAATTTATCAGTATTATTTGTCCAAACCTAATTACAAAGCATGATTCTTCGCCAAGTAGAATTTCAAAACACCAAAAACAGTCACGTAGGCTCAGCGAATTCAGAAATTATATATAAAAGGATTTGTGTTCTTAAAATTTTCAAATTATATAGGATCAAAGTTGACATAAACTATATTAATAGCACACATCTATTTTTATAATTCGGTTCTTCAGTTCGGTATGATATGGTTCGTGTCAGTTTGGTTCTCGGTATTGATATTTGTGAAATGTCTAGAACCATACCAATTACTTTTTCGGTTCAGTTCGGTTCAGAGAAAGTCAAACGGACAACTGTTATTTTGATTCGAAGTGATTTTGGTTCGAATTTCAAAACGGTTTAAAATTCTTCGAGTCACATGTTCAGTCCTAGCGGTAGTTACAACTTGGATATTCATTAATTTCTAGTTACATGGCACAGCCATCGGAATCACATGAGCCAAAAACTAAACTAAAACATTAGGATTAATGCTTAAACAAATTAATAGAAGTACAATTTTTACGCGAAAGAGCAAGTTGGGCGGCGAATTTCTTGTTCACTGATATGATAATTAACTATTAAATAAGTGCTTTTCACATTGTCTTGTATAATAAAATATATATATGCGGTAGTTACAACGAACGTGGATATATATATATTAATTTCTATTTACATGGTATCGCCATCTGAATCACATGGGCCAAAAGCAAAACTAAAATATTAGGATTAATAATTCAATAAATAAATTAATAGTAGAATTTTTGTGGGAAAGAGCAAGTCGGGCGAAATTTCTTGTTCA